GTAGGAATTAGGATCTTAAACTAATATAAATCTTTGATTGTGAAATAAAAAATTAAATAAGTTGAAAAATCTGGAAAATAAACACCAAAGAAATAGAAAAGCTTAGGTTAGTTAGAGAAATAGATTGAATAAGCCATAACAAGGTAAATATATGAAATAATTCTAGAAATAGAAAAATTAGGTAAATTTAAAAATAAGGTGTGTAGCAAGTAGATAGAAAATAAGAGAAACTTTTGATGATGGAATAAGAAACTGTGAAGAATTAATAAGATACTTAATTCTTTAGTCATTAATCGATGAATGGAGGGGACATGTGTGGATAAAGTTCAGTAGGTATGGTGAACCTGCAAATAGATAGTTATGTGAAACATGGTCCAAATGTGGATAAGCATTTGTGAGCATGTGGGTTACCCAACAAAGGAACCTACTGTGGCCTATGTGAGATTTATGTGTGTGTTATCCATTTTATGAAATGATCTTTTTTGCCTCTCATCGATAGTGATATAACGGACATCGCGCGATGATAACCTAAATAAGCCTTTAAAAACTAAATAATATGAAATTATAAGTCAGGGTGGAGTGATATGTGTGGATGAGAAATCCGAATTAAATCCGAGTAGAGAGATTTGTATTTGTGAGTAAATCCGTTTTATTTCGAGAAAGATGTGAATGCATATGTATGTCTGTGCAAATTATATATGCAAGGCGTATGTGAAAGTAATAAGTAAAAGAATGGAATTGAGAATATGTTTCAGAAGAGAGAATTGAGAATAATAATGTGTGAATTGAGAAAATGAATGTGTGATTTGAAATAAGAACAAGAGTTAGATTAGAATAGTGAGGATTAGAATTTGTTATGTGTGATGATTTATTTTGTTGTATATTTTGATTGTGATATCTTATTTGATATTTGCTCGATTATAATATTTTTATACTTTATATATTGCGTGAGTGCACGTGCGTAAGTCACTGTTATAGAATTTTTTTCTTACTTAACTTGTGAAACTCACTCTAATTCACCTCCCATCTAGGTCAGAGGAGATGAGAAACAAGTTCAAGATTAATAGAAGATGGTGAAGAAAACCTTATGAGTTTAAATTCTTCAATTATTTGAAAATAAATAATTATTCTATCATAAGAGATGTGTATTAAAGTATAGTTCTGCTGCATATTTAATATTTGTCGATTCCACTAGTTGAAAATGTTATGTTAATGTTCGTACCCATTGGACTTCCGGCTATTACAATAGATTATTGCAAAGATCATGATTATGTAATAGTTTAAGGGGATGGTTTTATATACTAGGTGACTAGTTAGTGTTGGAGAATGAAGTTTTAAAAGAATAAGTTCATCTTAAGCTATTTGAATATTTCTATAGGAAATTTTTTACTCAATTCAACTATATGGTTTTATGGAAGTGGTAAATTGGTCGGGGTGGGAGAATGAAGTTTAGAAATATAGATTCCTCTTAAGATATATGATTAGTTTTATATGAAATTTTCTTATTCAATTCAAATAGAATGATTACATGATTTAATGAAAGGAAGAATTGAAGATAAGTTAAGTTTTTTTTTTTTTTTTTGTCATAAGATAAGGGGGAAGAACCTTTTCTGGTGATAACTGTCTTTTAATAATTTAAGAGACAAAATATGTAGTTTATACTTGTAAAAAGATAAAATTATTCTAACTTGAGCTATGATGCTTTAATATTTAGTGATTGAGGACATATTAGAGGGGGTAGTTAGTGTTGAGCTCTTATCAATTACTAGAAAATAATGTAAGGGCTTTATTATCATACAAATCTATTAAGCTTGGTGCTCTTATTGTGTTTAAGATGATTTAGTTTTACAACATTATGTTTTTTTATTGCATTTTATATGACTTCTTTAATTTGTGTTATAAAATTGTTATTAGTTTATGACTCGAAAAATCAAGTAAGATTCTTCATGTTTGGATAGTACTTACTTGAGTTACAATTGCATGCACTCTTTCCTCTCAACAGATTTTATACTATTATTTTTTTTCCGTGTAAATTTTGTTTATGGTGTTGTGATGAATCTTTGATATAATATTAATGAATATTTATTCATTTTCTTTAAAAAAATAAGTAATAAATATTAAACATAAAAAATTCAGAAATTAAAAGTCTCATTGTTCGACTTGAAAGAAATCGAATTGTAAACTTAATTTACAAATTTAAATTGCTTAGCAGTAAGCTGATATGTTGAAGGTAAAATTAAAAAAAATTAACACTAATACAATATACTTTTAACATATATTTTGTATTGAATTGTTTTTAGTTTAAGTCATATAAAAATCATCTATCCTTTTGATTTTTGAGAAATATACATAATTTTGATCTCTTGTTTATTTAAATATTTATATGTTTTTAGTAAGGACCCAATATGAGTTTAATAAAATAAATGATTCATTTTATCTTATGCTGTAAGGACCCCGAAAATTTAAAATGAAATGTATATTAAAAATATCAAATGCGGAAGCGAAGTCAAAATTTCGATTAACATCCCTTACACTAAAACCAAAAACGTGCTTACAAAATATAAAAGATCAAACCAAATAAAGGAGAACTCGAAAGTAAAAGCTATGAATATGACTATGGAGTCTTTAGGCGTCCCCTTCGTCGTCCTCCTGCGGAACGGGCTCGGGAACAATGTCTTCCTGATCTGAAATGATTAAATAAGGAATGAGCTACACTAACCCAGTAAAGACATCACGATATTTCACCGTCGCGGAGGTAAAGGTGGGTAGAAAACACAAAAAGACCAATGGAGCATAATTTATAACGAACTCGTTTATTAATATAAAAACCTTTACTGTCCACTTACCTCGGTGAAATTCATAAAACAATATACGAAAACAATAACATTATCATCATCATGAAATCATATAAACTGCATAACATAATACTTATCACGCCTTTTGTAATTCAATCATTACACAACATATTTTTCCTCATTTACCAGCCTACTAGTATCCATGGGGATCCATAGGGGTCCCGCTACCCGTTAACCCTTAACACTTAAAACCAGATTCCAGGGCCGTCCCCATACCCCGTCCGGTATGAGAGACCACAATCCCAGTAGGGTTCCCTACGGACCCGGTCCGTCCACCATCTCCCAGAATATCTAGTTAGGCTGAGCACATTATACAATTATCAATTTACATAATCTTTCATTCTCCTTTTCCTCAGTCAGCATCATCAAGTCACACATAAACAAGCAAAACAGTAATTTATGCTTAACAAGACAACATACAGCATCGGTTACTCAGTCATTCAACCCATAATAAATAAAATAGTAAAATATGCACATGAAACTATGAAATAAAAACATCAGACCTCATACTGCATTTAAAACTATAAAATAGGCCAAATAACAATTAATCGACAACCACACTAGACTCGGGCTCCATTAGCGACCTTAAGCAATTTCACACATTCGTTAATTCAAGAAATACTGTTTTATCTTTTTTGAACTTTAATACCGTGATAGAAAATAGGGTGAGGGGTCCTTACTCGTTTCGGGGTCCGAACACGGCTTCACAGTGCGCCTACAGGCTGTCCCTAATTTTTTCTGAATTTTTCACGGGGAACTGAAACACACTACTGGTACCTGCACGTGTTCCAAAAAATTTCAAATTAGGCCCAGGGCCCCTTTTTGGCCAATATCGCAATTCCGGCACGGCGGCTCCGCCGTGCTTCGGCGAAGGCGCCGCCGCTTGCGGCAGCGATTTGCCTCGGGTTGGCCGTTTTCGACCGTTTCCGGTCGAATTCGGCCACACTTACATCGGTCCTTGCGATAAAACAACCCTAGGGCCCTCGGGGGCCAAAAAATTACGGAAAACCGAAGCTTACCGGCGGCGGTGCTCTCGGGTGCGGCGGCTCTCCGATGAGGTTCGTGTTTTGGTGATTCGGCTCCGATCAACCTGTAGAGAAAAGAATGGTGATCACGGTGATATAAAAATTGCATCAAACGGAGGTCGAGAAGGGCCTCATCGGAGGCAAAAACCAAGGAGGGGCGCGGCAGCGCCGCTGGGTTTCGGCCGTGTTTTCCGGCCGTTTGGCCGGGATTTTAGCTCCGATTTGGCCACAGGAGAAATCAGCGTGGAAAAACGAGTCGGGGGTATGAAATTTACCTCGATCGGCAGTCGGAAATCTCCCCGGTGCGGCGGCCGGTGGCGGCGGCCGGCTTCTCCGGCGTCTGGTTCGTCTTCTCCGGTGAGGGCAGGCGGCTAGGGTTTTTGTGGTCAGGTGTGGGGGTTCTATTTATACCCTTTTACCTTTTGATCTCAGCCATCCATTTTGATTTAATCTGAGCCGTCCGTTTTTGATTGAATCTGGACCGTCCGTGCGATTGTATCTGGGCCGTTCGTGTGCACGCTTGTTTGGGCCATCCGATCGCGCGTACGCAGATCGCCAACTTGACCCGTCCCCGGTCGACGTGGTCTTGCCACGTGGCAGGTCCTGGTTGGCCAGAACTGCTGACTGGGTCTGACGTGGCTGCTGACGTGACACGCTTTTTTTTTTTAACTTAATAAAAATATTTAATAATAATAAAATAACAAATTTTCCGGGCGTTACATATGCTAACAAATTGCTCTTATCTTTTTCCATAAAGTATAAACCAGAATTTTGTTAATTAGAAAGTAGGGACATATTTGAAATAGAAGTCTAGTCAGGGGAGAAAATAGTATAATTTAAAAAGGGCCATAGATGAAAAATGTATTAATTTACATTGGTTTAATTGCAATTTAAATAAAATAGGCCATCTCACCAGTGAATAGGTTATTCAACCAATCGAATGATGCCACATACTATTTAAAACTTCATAAAGCTCCGTCACAGCAACCAACGGGCCTAATTGCGCCATAGAGAATCAATGTGGTAGATCGGATGGTGTTGGCCTGCATAACACCACATCCGACCGCCAGCACTTAACCTTAAAAATTGAAGGGGCAGGATTTATTTGTTGCGGGGTTAAATAGAAGATGGGTTGCAGCTCAATGAAAAAAGAAAAAAAAAAACCCCACTCCCAAATTCGGTGGTGACCGAAGAAGAAGAAGAGAAGAAGAAAGAAGCTTAGGACGAAGGAAATTGGTGGTCGAAAACAGTGTCGACGCCGTACAAACAAGGATGTAGGTAAAGCCTTCCTCACTCTCTTTGAGTTCGACAGTGGAACCTCATTTCATTTCTTTTCTGAAGTAACGTGTATCAGAAACTAAATCATGTGTTGGTACCGATTTCAGCTTAGGAAGATCCCCACACCGAGACTACCCGCATCACCTTTTGTCAAAGAGGTAAGGATTATTTACCACCTTACTCTATCTCGATAATTAGTGCACTTAGAATACAAATCTATAGAGGTTTTTCATTTCTTACGGACCTCAAATATGAGTGAAAAATGGGTTGAATAATTTTCTATTTTAGCTGAAGGCATGAACAATGATGTAATACACCTGATTTTTGGTTTAAATTAGTATTGAGGAAGGTTTATCAATGTCCTCTGATGGGTAGTTGTAGATCCTGAAATGAATGGTAAAATAGTTTTAAGATTAGGTATAAACCTGAGTATGTAATTTCTGCATCAATTGAACAATGAGCACCAATGTTGGAAATCTAGTTTAGGCACCTAAACTGATATGCAAGAGAGATACATCAGGTCTGATGAATTATATGAAAATTTGGTATCTGGGAAGTATCATATTAGGGACTTGTTTGAGTAAAATAAGGGGTTGAGATCCTGATGAGAGAATGATTTTAGGATAGAAACACTAAAATACAACACAACAGAGCAGGTAAGGATTAAAAAATTTAGCCAATTAAATTATAATAGCATCCTGGAAATTTCAAGGTAAATTAGTGAAGGGTACTGGGCATTGTATAGATGAGGAAATTATTAAAAAAAAGAAATAAAAACAAAATTAGGCAACAAGGGGAATATCAGAAAAATAATTATATGTGTGTGTATATATATATATACTGGTGTGCATACGCAGGGGAGGAAATATAAAAACAAAATTAGGCAACAAGTGGAATAATAGAAAAATAATTATAAATGTGTGTATATATATACTGGGGTTCATACGCATGGGAGGAAATATAAAAACAAAAATTAGGCAACAAGGGGAATAGCAGAAAAATAATTATGTATGTGTAGATATATATACTGGTGTGCATACGCATGGGGAGGAAATATAAAAACAAAATTAGGCAACATGGGGAATAGTAGAAAAATAATTATATATATGTATGTATATAATGGTGTGCATTCGCAAGGGATGAAATATAAAAACAAAAATTAGGCAACAAGGGAAATAACAGAAAAATAATTATATATGTGTAGATATATACATACTGGTGTGCATACGCTGGGGAGCAAATTATAGAATTTAGAGGATTGGTCTGTATGGGAACAAAAAATAATAATATAGACAGCATAGCAAATCAGGGAAAAACAATTTAGTTTTAATAATAAAAAAAATAGATAAGAGAGGAAATAGGGAAACATGTGTGAGTTAAAGAGGAGAATAAATGACGACAGGATCTGTTAAAAAAAACGAAAGGAAAGGGCTGTGATATGTTGTTGAATTATATTACAATGTGCAAAGTTGATGAATATACCGTTCAATCAGTTAACATTGAGAGAGGGGTGTGTGAGTGACTGAATTAATGTTGAGATGAGTTTAGTACTCCTTTCATGTGTGATAGATGGATGATTTATGGCAATACGCATCATACGAGTTGAGGTATGAGTGTTATTATATGTTTTCAAGTTCCTTTGTACTAGAAATGGTACAATTGTGACCATTGTTATTGTACTCTTGACATAGGTGGGTGGTTGTGTGGCCATTTCGGTTGAGAGGTGAATATGCAAGAGTGTATACAATAACGAATGGTACTAAGTCCACAGCAGGGCGAGGTTTGTGTATGGTTGTATTAGCTGAGTGTAAGCCCTGGCTGGTGGTGGTACCGGATGATATGTGCTGATGTGTATTTGGGGTTTGTATTTATGTATTCGGGAAGTTACCGATTTATTCTTTTTCTTTCTTAGTATTGGATGTGAACGGTATGATACACTGACGAAATCGAAAGAAAAATACTAGAGATGAAAATCAAATATAGGAATGAAAAGAGGGTAATATATGTGTGCTGAATATAGGTCACTATATTAAAGTTAGAATGCCTAAAAACTGAGTTATATTGTGGAGAATACTAGATATAATCTATATTAGAATATGGATGATGGTAGAAATCGTACTGGTTATCGGTATAGAAAAGGGTAGTAAATAATTTTTATTGAATTGTTAACTCACCCCCTTTTTATTATATTTTTTACAGAGCAGGAAAATCAATCTCCGGTACAGGATCCAATAACACAAGAATCTGACATTTAAGGCAAGAAGAACACTAAGGATCACTAGTTGGAATGAAGACTATTTCTTTTCTTTCCTTTCACATTGATACTCACTTGTATAAGTTTGATAGTTGATGTTTTGGAGGTTTAAAGAGAAGTGACACATTGTAACAAGGATAGACATGCAGGATGAGAGTTTGGTTGGTTGTATTGACACTGGTTGACCCCCTGCGATCTGGCTATTTACTGGGGAGATTGCAGGTGATATATGTATATATGTGAACTCTGAAGCTTGAGAAATTCTTTAAATGCTAGATATTGTTTATTTGTAGTTTAGGTTTGATACTCCCATTTCCTGCCAAGGAAACGAGGCTGTCACAATTTTGATTTGGAACAAATATTTTTCCTCCCTTTCATCATGGGCTTCCATGCTACATAATTATTAAAACATGATTTGATATTAAAAATTATTTTTATTGTCTTTTATTAAAAGTATATTAAATAAATATATCTACCTTAGAATTGCATAAAAAGCCGATTGTATATTGAAAGGTGTTAAATGAAAAAAGAAACTGTTGAAAGTATGGTAAATAAATATAAATACCTTTTCTATTTAGTTCACTGTAATTTATTGTCTTTTGTTAAAAGTATATTAAATGAAGAAAACATTTGCATTGTTTTATTTTTTTGGGAAATATGAAGGAGGATGGGAATCAAAATGTTTTTACATAATATATTATACATAATTAGTTCGATAAATTCTAAAGTAAATTTGTCACACCTGCAAATTTAAATAAATACGTAAAAAAGAATTTATGAATTAAATTAAATCAAAATTTATAAAATTAAAGTTTTTGAAGGCCTAAACAATAAAAATTAAACTTTTTGGACCATTTTATAATAAGGAAGGGCCAAAATGAATTATATATTAAAAAATAAAGCCTGGTTACTTTTTATACTTATTGAGCGTATTAAAATTATTCAATCTATTTAATTTTAATTTTTTTAAAATTAAAAATATAATATTCAAATTAATTTTAATATAATTTTAATTTAATATAAAAATGAAGAAAAATAAGTGTAAGATGAAATTGAAAATAATTTTGAAAAAAATGAATGAAAATTTGGGTTTTTGAGGTATTTTAAAAAAAAAAATCGAAAATCAAGAGTCAAAATACAATTTGAAAAAACTGTGTCACGTAGAATATTCAGTCAGCAACCTCGACGAAGCAGAACGTGCCACATGTCAAGAGATGCTGATGCGGTGCCACGCGGGCGATCCGCGTGCCAATGATCGAACGGCCCAGATTCGCTCCTATGCGCACAAACAGTCCGGATGCGTTCTCTCCCCAGACGCGATTAGACGGTCAGATTTAAATGCGATCAACGGTGCAAATTCACTTCCTATTTAAATACAATCGAACTGCCCAGATCAGATCGTGATGAATGGTCCAGATTCACTCCCTATATTAATTGTGATTGTACGGGCCAAATCAAACATGATGGATGACCCAGATTAAAAATGGATGAATATAAATAACTCTCTTCACACCAAACCCTATCCCTAGCTGCTAGACACCCTCACAGGAGAAGAAGACCCAGTCGCCGGGAAGGGAAGCCGCTGCCATCTGCAACCGCCATCCCCCGCCGTGCCGGAGCCATTTCCGACCGCCAAAAGAGGTAAAATTTTCTCAATTTGCTCGGAATTTAATTTTAAACACTTCCATAGCCAAATTAAAGCAAAAAGACCGACAGATTGGCCAAAAACCGTAGGCAAAGCCTAGCGGTGCCGCCACGAAAAATTACAAAAACCGCCTCCGATGAGGCCATTCCCGATTCCCGTTTTGCGTAATTCTTCCACTATTATAATCACCGTTTTCTTTTCTATAGATTAACAGAAGCAAAGTACCCAACCATAAAGGTGAGCCAACGGAGTCGCTGCACCGGAGAACTCCACCGGTGAGTTTCGATTTTTTACTTTTTGGGGCCAACCGAGGCCCCTTAATGTGTTTTCTTACAGGAATTGATGCAAAACCGGCCGAATTCGATCAAAAATGGCCGAAAACAGCCGACTTGAGGCAAACCGTCACTGCGGGAGGCAGCCGCGTCACCGTGCCGGAATTTCAGAATTAGCCAAAAAGGAGTCCTGACACTGATTTTGAGTTTTTTGGGATATTTAAAGTGCGTTTTAATCCAAAAAAAAAAATTTAGGGAACCTGAGGACCGCCAGTAAACGCAGTCAACAAGTTTAGCATTTCGGGTATCAATTTGAATAAGAATCAATCACCCTATTCTCTATTATGGAATTGAAGTTAAATTAACAATAATACGATATTTTGTGCAATTTAGACAATATTCATAATTAATTATAGGTTGTTAATGAAGTTAGAACTGAAAATTATTCACTATTGATTCTGTTGATTGATTTTATAATTTAAATGCATGATAATATCTGATTAATCGATTTTATAGTTTTGAATGCATATATTGTTTGTTTTATGTGATTACGGTTAAATTAGAAAACTAGAGATTAAAGGTAAATGAAAAACTATGTGATTAAGTGAATGATGAAATGGTAGCCTTACTGGATATCCTGGGAGATGGTGGACAGACCGAGTACATAGGGAACCCTACCATAAACGTTGTCTCATACCGGATAGGGTATCGAAACTTGGTAATTTGGCACTCATACCAGACGGAGTATGGAGAGGACCTGTTTCACCCTCATACCGGACAGGGTATTGAAATTTAGTAATTTGACGCTCATATCGGATGAGGTATGAGGACGACCCGTTAATTGAAAATGTTAAAGGAAAGGATTCACGGATTGTGGGGACATCCCTATGAACCTCCATGGATACCAATAGGCTGATAAAAGAGAAAATTATTGTTCCAACTAATTGCATATAAAATTATGAAATGTGTTATGTTCTTATATCTATAAGTTATTTTGTAAATCTCGTTACGGCAGGTAGATGGTAAATAATTTTATTTATGATAAATGATTTTGCTAAATTAAGAGCTCGATTAGTTGTTTTTATTATTTCTACCAACTTTTATTTTTGTGTCGGTGAGTAGCGTGATATTCTTGCTGGGTTAGTGTAGCTCATTCTTTTATTAACCATTTCAGATTAAGAGGACCAGGATCTTGAGTCCGATCCACAAGAGGATTGCGAATAGGATGTCAACTTTATTTATTTTCTGGTTATTTTTTTAATTTCTCGTATTTCTCTTAAAATTGTCATTCTTGTACCCCTACTTGGTACTTTAAGTTATTGTGTAAGGAATGTGAACTCTAACGTTTTATTTCGCTTCCGCACTTAATTTATAATTTATTTTCTTTAAAAATTTTCGGAGTCGTTACATAAAAAATGGATAGTAGTGCCCAAATAGGAATTGTCATATTCTACTTTGTACCAATAGTGTATGTATTTAGTTTTAACTCTACAAAATTTTGTTACCTCATGATGTAAATTAATGTTCACGTTATACAAGAGATGAATGACTTCTATTGTGTTTTATCTACTTTTTAATTTTTGTATTATATTTTATGATTCAGTTGTATTTA